TATTGTATAGCATGACTAATTATACTTCAGCCGGCGGCGGATCTCGTTGCGCGACTTCACGGGTGGCGGAAAGCACCCTATTAAATCTCGAGCCTTGGCCACCCTCTCGGGTGTAAGGAAGAAAACCGCGAGACGTCAATACGAGTGCGCCAAGCGTGAGAAAGGGTAGGCATTTGTGCACTCTAATCCTCGATCTTCCTTCTTTGTTTCACGTCCGCTTCTTCATCTTCTTCTCTCTTTCTCTTCTCTCTTATTCTCTCTCTCTCTCTCTCTCTCTCTCTTACTCTCTCTTACTCTCTCTCTCTCTCTCTCTCTCTCTCTTTTGTTTCCTGCCTAAAGGTTGGTTTAGTCTACTTGGCAACCTCCAAGAACTGCGTCGAAATGCGCGCGCGCATTCTATACTTACAGTATTTTATAGTCTTTGTAGAATGATAGGATACATCTGATAAAAACATTCACAGAAAAAGAATTCTATTTTTAATCGAAGTGGAAAATAGCAATGAACTTACAATATTATTTTTAGAAATTTTCTGTGAATAATTATAAGTGCAAATTAGATCGACAAGAATAAATCAAATAAGAGAAAAAAATCTATCTATTTTTGATCGAAGCGGATGCTTATATTTTTCAATTCTATAAATTGCGCACCCAATTCATTCAATTGAATTTAAAACGCAATAAACTGAAACTGGAAATACCATCACAAATTACATTGATTGTCAATTAATAATAATGCTAATAAGCATCTTAAAATATTGCAAAAATTTATTGCGAAAAACATCACCTCAGCTAGAGGTTGAATCTAAAATTCTCGATTTTATGGTACGAGCATCTTATCAATGCCTTAAGACCCTTATTAGCATCATAATTAAGTTAAAGATCAAAGTAATTTGTGATTTTAGACTTCAATTTATGATTACGTTTTAAGTTCAGTAAATCAAATCAACATGCAATTTATAAAACTGGAAATATATTTGCAATAAATCTGTAGATTTACTACAGCATAAATATTATTAAGCATTAAAATTCGCTTTGATCAAAATAGGATTTTTTCTCTTGATTTATTCTGGTCGATCTGACTTCCATTTATAATTTTTCGTTCAGTTTGGATCATCCTCATGAAGAATGAAACTTTGAAGTTTGAATTAATCATTGCGATTTTATTTATATTGTACGTATAATTGCTTCAATAATTAACAAAGATTACAGATGAAATTTCGTTTAGCTTATAAAATATATAAGAAGGTAATAGGAAAGGTACACATGCAAAATTAAAACGCCATTGGAGAGTTACGTTTTGAATCTTTAAGTATTTATTTAAACAAATCCCAACATTCCAAACATTGATAGTTGTATATACGTATGGGTGTGTCTTTTGTGTCTTCTGTGCGCTTTCTATAGACACAAGATAGATTGTGGCAGCATATCAATTTGCCTTTGACTATCTATGTCATGTCCATAATGTCTTCCTTTTCGTTATTTTTGTATGTGTATTCACTGTCATGCAAGTACCGCCATTTGTTTCATCTACAGATTCTCCGATTAAATCGCAGTCAACTTTTTCTCGCAAAAAAAATCTTAACTGTAAACATCTTCAAAATTTTTTACAATTTTCTAAATGTATTGAGGAATGAAGTTTTCTGCATTAATTAACAATTTTACAAATTAGCATCTTGATTCGTCAAAAATCATTCATTTTTTATTGTTTCCTACTCAAGAATGATTTAATCTTTTATAACTGATATGCTCTGCTTATAAAAGAAAATTGCACAAGCAATAAATAGAAAATATTGATTATGGGATATAATTAATTATTTAATCTTAATTTATAAAGATTTCACTGTAAAAGAACTATTTGTAAGTTGAAATAACAATGGATAATAATATACAAAAACTTGTATACCTGTAATGTATCTTTATTGAGTATGGAGTCCACAATGATGCCAGAGTGATAAACTAATGAGATAACACTTTTAAAAATAAATAAATATATAGATAACTTTCAAATTACCTGATATTATAAAGAGTTAATATTTTAGCCGAAAAAAAAACTTGACTGAAGAATTTGCAGACGAAACGGTGATGGTAAGGAATTCTCACGAGGCTCAATTTTAGCCGCACAAATGACATTGAGCCTTACCTTGAGCCTTACCTTGAATTACGATGCAAATGAAGCTAACTTGACGGTCCAAATTCGTATTCAAAATCAACGAACAATTGTTTATTACTCAACGTTTCGCGAACAGCTTCTCGATTTTATATAGCGCGATACTCTCTTCACCTCCATCTTTGATGATATATCTTAATATCATCAACATTCTATCAGTAGACGATAACACACGCGAGTGCAATCGAATCAATTATGGCAAGTTTTTCCGTAACTAAGTTAGGAGTTTAGATGGCCCCTCGCGTGGTTTCTCTCCTTTAATTACTCGAAAAGTCTTACGGTCATAAGGGTGCTTTCGACGACAACGCTTGTCCGTCTCTGTACTCTGATACTTTTGTGACGGACTTGTTTCCTGGAACTATCAATTTAAGATTCAATTCTTGCCATTTTTTAAATTACATTTCGCCGAAGAGCGTTATGGATTCCGTTGAAACGAACCAAGATCAAAATTTGCCTAGCCTCTAAAGAATTCTTATATATTTTATTTTACATACAAAATGTTCGACTTATACTTCAGTAACAATTTCTTTAGGAAATTTTGCAACAATATCTAATGCCATTTTTAAAGTATATTTCATAGACTTGAGACTTGAAGTAAATTTTGATCCTAAACGCCCTTTCAAGCTAATCTTCCATAAAGACAAGCTAAATATATTTTGATATATATATTCTCTTAGACCATTTTATAATAAAGAATTTTAATGATTGTAATAACTCTTATCAATAGTACTGAACATATTCGATCAGACTCAAAATACTAATCGTGTATTAGTGGCCGATCGATACGTCTAAGCACCCCGAAGAAAAACAAAAAATTAAGATGGACCCAAATACTTTTCGCCTTCCAACTACATACATTTCCAATATTGCACGAAAACTTACAATACAGGTGACTCTCAACGACAAATTTGAATTTATATTAAATTTTATTATTATTATCAAGGGGCTGAAAATGAACAGTAATTTTTAAATCATTGAAAGATAAGATGTCTGTGAATAAATGAAAGTGAATAAAAATTTAAATAAGTAATAAAAGATTAGCTTTAATCAAATGCAAACTCAAATTGACATACTACGAATAATTCAGAGCGCTTACACATGGACCAGTTTCCAATTGGTCGAAAGTAGAAATTCTTACCTAAACACTTTCCTTTTATAGCAGTCATCAAAAAGTTGTAGCAAATTTATAACTTTTGGAAACAACGCAACTTTATCCTTCTTTCTACCTTCGGGGTGACTATTAAAGTCGAAGAAAACTCGTATCACAATACTTCCTGACAAATGTATACATCGTAAAAATGTCTCGAGTGTATAACGCGGTCATCTCAATGGAACGCTAAAACTTCGCATATCGAATTCTTTTCGCAAATGCAATTTCACGTTATACAATGACAATTTTCAAAACAACTACCAGAGAGTCACCTGTATCCTCTTAAGTACTCCCCGTTGCCGTTAAACCATATAACCCTATCTCGTGTCAAATATATTCTAATTCCTTGCAAGGCTGCACACACACGCCCAATTACGCTAACGAAAGCCAGCATCTCACAGAGTTTCCCTTTCCCCACTATTTCCTTACATCCTTTCTCCTTTTTATCCTTTCCTTTTCACTCTTTTATTCTTCTTGTCTATGCTCACACACACACACACACACACACACACACACACACACACACACACACACACACACACACACACACACATTCTCTCGCACGAACGTACATGTCAGTAGCTAGTCATTTTCGTCGTCTTATGAACCTAGAAGTTGAAGCCCAAGACTACCAATTCCTCAATTAATTCCATTTAATGTTATGATAAGATTTCGAGCCTGAATTAGCCCGAGTATCATGACGGACATCGTGTATACTTGTGGCAAGATGTCTTTAGCATTCATTTTATTCCTGAGATTACGTCAATCCCCCGTTTACGCGACACTTGCGCCGCAACGACCGCCAGACCCGTCTGAAAAGTCAGTGAACTAAGGTCGGTCGATCCGTGAATTTCAAGCGCCAGACGTTGCCGTCCCTAATGGATGAACGAAGATTCACATCTCAGGGTACAAAGGGACTACTACGAACCTCCTGTATATTCTCTTATGTGTTTACGTGCCCGTTTTGTGCGTTCACCAAATTGTGTTACACGATGTGGATCACCAACCGAAGAAATCGGTACAAAATCCCTCGAAATAAAACACACTTTCAATGCTGACTTGTATATGGGCACACACACGGCACTGTACAACTCCGTTCGGAGCGAATAAAAAATGTTTCATTTTCTTCAATCGCGAAATACTATGTACGTTGGCATCCATTTCTCATGAGAATCATTCAAACAACAAGGATAAGCTTGAATGCGTTTCTGTAGTGTTTAACAGTCTGTAATAAGTTCTAAGAGCAAGAACAGTTTTGAGAAGAGAATTTATATTAACACGGCTGCCAAACGTTTCCGCCAAAAGGATCGCGCTTTCATCTCACACAAGTTAATCGAACTCAATGAACATGTGAGCGCGAGAACGTGCGATTTATCCTCAAAAACGGAATACAAGGAAGTAATAATCTCACGAGATTATGAGGAACGAAATTCGCTTCGACAATGACTTAGAAGATCGTGACTCTCGCGTCTTGGAAAGTGTATTCCCGATAATAATCAGAGTTCAAAGACGCCCCTCATCTATACACTCGATCTCGATGCTGTCCTCTCGTCGTGCCTCGTTCACGAACCACACCCTCCAGCATCAAAGATCTCGAGAGACCGGGATCCCGCACTCTATCACACGGAGATCTCTTGAATTTGCACGCGCTTCTTCGCGCTACCAGGTGTCCCGGGTTGGCGCAGAATTCCAGGGCATGTGAGACCGATATTTGGTGCTGGAGCCTTGGGCGGGGGCGGTGGTTCCGGCAGGTCCTCGTTATCGTCTTCGCTGTCATGATGAAGACCGCTGATGTTGACTTCATCCATCTGGGCGATAGTGGCGTCTACACAGGGCGACGGCGTGCGGGTCCGCTGAATACACGGACTCTTACTATAGGATGGTGGTTCCAGGATCCGTTTACCACCGCCGGGGGGTGGTGAGCACTGAAACTCCTGCAATTGTAACTCGAGCTCCTGCACGAGCTTCGCCTTGTGCGGTGGCAGCATCGACGATGACGAGTCTATCATGCTCATGGAAGACGGTAATCGCTGTTTGCCCGAAGTATCTATGCCGGAGCAACCAGCCTCTAGGAACTCCTCCTTCTTCTTGTTGCTAAAAGTGCCCGAAAGACCGCCACTAGTTGTGTTCCGGTCGCGTTGGTGATATATCCCCGCAAAAATTAGGATGTTGAGCAGCAGCAAGAACACACCCACTGCGATAGTGACTGTAAGAGCCGTGGTATAGCTCTGATAATGACTGGACGCAAGTTTGCGCAGGAGGTTGTTCGGGCCCGGACCTAGATTCGAGATCTGCAATGTTCGCGAAGTGGTAGGTGTGATAGTCGTCGCGACAGTTGCATTCGGGGTGCATTCCGTAGTCGATAGCGCAGTCAGTATCGAGGAGGGTTCCGTGGGTGATGGCATTGGTAACGGAGGTGCTGGTATAGGCACGGCCGTACTCTGTGGACGCACCGGACCCTCGTAGAGACCAGGGTTCTCCGCGAGATGATGGTGCCGCATATTGAGCTCGTAACCCGGCCGGTGCAGTTGCGGCAGCAGATTCAGCCAGAGGGACATCTTGTGGCCTCTGTAGTGCGAACGCATCTCCGGGCTGTGAGCGGCTTCCAAATAGAGTTGATTTATGGAATCGTACGAGTCCCAAAACGGCGGACTCGTCACCAGGCCGTTTTCCAATCCCGAGGACAAAGGACTCGCGCCATTTGGATCCCTAGAACAACGAGTGAACCGCGATTCTTTGACAAATGGATTGAAACTGCCGCGAGGCTTAATATTCTCTCTCACGCTTTACGTTGCGTTCCTATTTTGTTGAATGTTCAATTTTCAAAAAAAAAATCAATTTCAAAAAATACTGCGCGAAATTCAATACAATTTATTTTTTTATACAATTAATTGTATAGTGATGTCATGATTTATTTAAAAAATTATAAAAATATCGTTATAATTTTATTATTTGCAGCAAATTATTTGAAACGCTTTTCTAAATTGATGAAACCTAAAATTGAGGCCTCCGAAGCGAACATCTCACGCTGCTCTGTGCAATATTTTATCACAGTGCACAGGCAGAATTCCATTGTGAAAATCCGCCGTGTCGATGACAGAATAATCATCCAGATAGCCGCCGATCCGCAATTAGAGATGCCAAAATCACTTCGCGTCTTCGCCACTAACAAGTCTACTCTACTTCGAGATTGCGAGCTTTCGCTGAGCGTGTTAACGGCCTTTGCGGGAGTTTGGCTCCAAAATCCTCTCGCAGCTGTAACTTTACCCTTACTACCATTACCAGCCTTCAGATTCCCCTCTTGGAGAGTAATCGAAGTGTATGCGATGCTTAAGTTCTGAAGAACTTTGAACCGGGTGAATTAACGAGAGAGGTTCACTTATCCGATTAACCCTTTCATACGCCAGTTATTTCACGTCGTAGTGTCGCCGATTAATGTTAATCGCATATTTCAACCAACAGAGTGTTAATTAAACAGAACTTTTCGCGATATTCTCGAAAATGTTCATCAATTAAATTCGTCGATTAAGATCAAAGAATAAAAAAAATCTGCAATATACTTCCATCTAATTTCGTTCGTTTTTCTTTTCTTTCGCTACTCATGTTTTTTTTTCTTCTACTTTATTTTATTTTATTTCGTGTCTTATACTATATTCTATATATACTATATTCTATATATACTATATTCTATATACATTTTTCTTATGTTCTCCGTTATTCTCTCTATTTTTCAAATTTTTCCTTTATGCCATTCTTTATTGCTGTTCTTAAAAAACTTGCACTGGAATGATATACGATCAACATGATACTACAAATGCTTTAAAGCGTTTTTTGATTAGTCAATTTGAAAAGTCCTTCTTCTAATTGATCAATCAAATGTTTCAAAGCATTTGTAGTAAGACTTTCATCGCAGCTATAATAAACTTCTATCTATCTATCTATTTATTTATTTATCTATCTTAATATTTTGATTTTCACTTTAAACTGCCTTGTCTTTAATGGACGCGGTCAGACATTAATTTCATCATCAGACACGGAGAATGAAAGAGAAGCGGAAAGGACTTACCCACGCCTCACGAAGTTAGCCAGGTAGTGTACAAGTAGTTTCGACAGATTCTCGTCGGCTGGGGTGTAGTTGCCAAAGGTAGGCACCGCGGACGTGACTTCGCCGCGAAGAAGAGGTATACCCAGGAGATATGGTATCTCCTCGCCCCTCTGGCTCGGCAGTTCACCCGGCTGGAAATGCAGGAAATAGCCACGTCCCTCCGAAGCCGAATGCAGTAAAGCCAGTCTGAGGAGTGGCGCGGCGACTTGACCGTCTCCGAGGAGAGATAAGAGACCTTCGCAGATCGCCACGGGACTCTGTTCGCCTCGCTCCCAATCGGTATACTCGTTCCGAAGAGTCGAATAGATTTCATGCAAATGATACCGGTAGGTATTCCGGACGTAAGTGCGCAATATACGGTCCCTCCTCGTCTCGTTCAAGCCGTTCTGCGAACCAGTAAGAATTTCGCCCGCTTTTGCGACACAAAAGAAGCATTTGCACACGCTTTGAATATTATGCTTCTTTGCGTTACGAATTTATCACAATTTGTAAAATAATCTTTCGATATCAACTTTGTATTATCAATCATTCATGAAAAATCGCCGAGAGACCTTACAAATAATCGAATGATATTTCCGCTGATATATCTGTGTATGGATTATTAATTTGATCACGATCGTAAAACAGGAGCATGCTATTATAGTGCGATACCCAGTGGCCGTGACCATCGGAGAGTCAATAATATCCGGAACGATTGGCGAACACAGACTTGCGATGCAATCATGTGCAGCTCGTCAATTTGTCAAACTGTATCCAATCGATGTCAATTACATATTATGCGTGAAGTGTCCGGTCATTAATCAAGGAATTACTTCCGCTCTAATATAAATTTCTTGATAAAATCGATATTAAAATAAAAGTATAACCAATAATAGCAACGGAGAAAAACAGATTAAAAAAGTTCGAAGCTTTTTATTCTACTAACAAAGATATCACGAAAACATGGAACTGTAATCGAGAAGTTTGCAAGAAAAACTAGAGATCCAAACAAAAAGGATACTACTGTGTAATTAATGTATTTTGTATTTTCTTTTACGTGGTTTTTTTCCGAATGAGCGTAACGATTGCGAATCCCACTTACCTGTAAATCTTCCTTGGTGAGATTCACCCAAGCTTCATCGGATGTCAAACCAAAAAGTAAATCACGGTTGCCGAAGTCCGCGAATTCAGTGCCGGGCCCGGGCACGATCGGCATTAATCCCGAAGAAGAGGCAGTAGGCTGGAAATTCTGAAACACAAACAATCTTTTTTTTCATGTATAGTAATATCAATGAGTAATATTCATTTTGATTCTCAATCTTCTCTATTCACTCTCGCTCTCCCCATATTATTATTAAATAAATCTCTACCACTTAGATACATCCCTCTATCACGTACAGCTAGTAATTTCTATTTAACGTCATATAAATTGACTTAGTCGCCATACATTTTAAAGCGGAGACGACAAGGAGAGACTTGACTGCTTTGTAATAATTCGTGGTTGCGATGGTACCTACATGCATGTTCATCTCTCCCGATTTCGCATTTAATGTCGCGATATCGCGATGAGCTCGAGCAACCAGACACTATCAACGAATGAGTTAATGGAGCATGCACGAAGTAGCTATTACGGTTCTCGGATCCGTCATCCGTCAGCCGGTCGCTCTTTCAATTAACAGATTCATCGTTTACCTTGTCGTCTCGTTCTCTTGCGCAAAATCAATACATTGGTCGGTCGCCGACATTGGACTCATATCCGCATGCAATTACAACATTCGCGAATTCTGTAATCACTTGGATGAAACGCCTGTCGCGACCCATGTTTATTTAATGCCCGCTGTTATATTTATTTACATCGCGATGGATATTCCATGCGTAACCAACATTTAAACGGCGGATGCGAAAACAATATGCGTATATATTTTGCGAGAAAGATAGAGGAAATGTAAATGCAAATTTTATGAAAAATAGCTTAACGTCAAAAACGACGCTGAGTCGTGAAAGACTGCGCCGGACATCTCGAAAACGTTCAGATAACATATTAATATGTCATTCACAAAAATCGCTAAAAAGTACCAATATATATTCATAGTAATTTTCGCCAACTTTATTCTTGGCTTAAAATGGATCTCTCTCTCTCTCTCTCTCTCTCTCTCTCTCTCTCTCTCTCTCTCTCTCTCTCTCTC